GAGGGAGGGAGAGAGAGGGAGGGCGGGAGAGAGGGAGAGCACGAAAGCAGCGCCGGGAGCAGCGGCAGCAGCAGGGCCGGTCACCCTCGCCCCCTCCCTGCTCCTGTGCTCGCCAGCGCAAGCCATGTCCTATCCTCAGGGTTACCTCTACCAGCCCCCTGGCTCGCTGGCTCTGTACTCCTGCCCGGCGTACGGGGCGTCGGCGCTGGCGGCCCCCAGGAGCGAGGAGCTGGCCAGGTCTTCGTCGGGCTCGGCGTTCAGCCCTTATCCGGGATCGGCAGCTTTCACCGCCCAGGCGGCAGCCACAGGCTTCACCAGCCCGCTCCAGTACTCCACAGACCCCGCCACGGGATTCCCCTCCTACATGGTAACTACAGAAGAGAAACCCTCTCCTTCTTCATTAGCATCCGCATTCTCATCCTCCTCATCATCTTCAGCCTCTTTCCTCACACACTCACCATCACTCCCCGAGACGGCCGCCCGGAGGCCCCGCACCGCCGCCGCCGCCTCCGCTCCGCCAGCGCCGTCCCGCAGCCTGTTCTCGCCCGGGGCCGCCGGAGCCGCGCGGAGCGGAGCGGGGCCGGGGCAGCCTCTCTACGCGCCGCGGCCGAGCGCGGGGCCGGCGGGGGCCTGGGAGCGGGGCTCGTGGAGCCGCGCAGTCGGATCTCGGTCAGTCGGGCTCGGTGCTTCCAATCCCCCCGCGTCCCCCCTCTTTCTCTCTCTCTCTCCCTTTTTTTTCCCCCCCCTCTATTTTCGCTGTGATAGGATACAGGAGGATTTTTTTATTTTTTTTTTTTTTTATTTTTTTTTCTTTTTTCTTTTTTTTGTTGTTGTTGTTGTTTTTCCTCTCTCTTTTTAAGTCGGTGTTTCGAGGCGCTGTGGTCTTTATCCCCGTGTGGTTTGATTTACTTTCAGCGTGTTTTGTGCTAATGGTTTAACTGGATTTTAGGAATGAAAAGGAGCATCTGTTTGCGATCTGGGAGCTCCGCTTAAGCCCAAGATGGTTGTGGTGGCCGCAGTTTCGGATTTCACTTTCTTCTTATTAGTTAAAATGAGCATTTGCAATCGTGTGCGTGTGTGTTATGCGCATAAACTATATAAATAAAACCGTAAACTACGTACATTAGCTACACGGCTAGATGGACATAGAGTTTTATAAACGCTCAGAGAGGGTCGAGCGCGGAGCTCGTTCGCACACACAAAGCCCCGTACCCGGAATCTCAGCCCGGAACCGCGGCGGCGATGTGAGGAGGGGGCGGCAGCGGGGCAGCTCCTCGCTTTCTGCTCGCAAAATGTGGGGCATCGCTGTCATGCTCTGTTCGGGGCGGTAAGAGGAAACTGAGGACCGCGCTTGTTTTTCCCGTCGGCTGGAAGTTGCAGCGGGTTGGGAGCTGTGCGGTAGATCGGGTGCTGCTCTGCCCGCGAGTCGCCGTTCCGCGGGATTCGGGGCTGTGCGGGAAGTTAACGAGTTCCTCCGATATCTTTAACTTTTCTCGCATTATGCAGTCTTAAATAAGCGCAATTTGAACGTAAAAGGGCGAATTAAAATGCTAATTACATCGCATTTGAACAATTCGAAACGGTGCATATCTTCTGATTTGCAAATTGGATTTGCAATGCATTAGTGCAGTGAATTGCTAAGTGGCGGCTTTGTTGTATTTTCTATAACAAAAAAGGAAACATCTTTTGAACCTTTGAGAGAAATGCAGATATCAAGACGTTACCTGTAGGGCCTTTAAAATGTCTGGGCGGTTCAAACCCGATATTGAGAAATATTCAATTACGAGGAGCTGAAATTATCAGAAAGATCAAAACATAGCCGATTTTAAGCGCATGTGGCGGAGGAGGAAGGGGAGTGGGAGGGTGTCCCATCTTAACGCCTTTGGGTGCCGCTTTACCCCTCATAGAATATGGATGCAAGACACCGTCCCGGGGAAATACAAACATAACCGCCGATCTCGCCTTGACAACTCCCTAATGGCTCTCAGCAGTAACAAATTGCCATCCCCACCGTTCTGTTCTGTCCAGGGCTCCCCTTACGACGCCCACACGACGGGGATGACCGGGGCCATCAGCTACCATCCGTACGGCAGCCCTGCCTACCCCTACCAGCTCAACGACCCCGCGTACAGGAAGAACGCCACCCGCGACGCCACGGCCACGCTGAAGGCCTGGCTGCAGGAGCACCGCAAGAACCCCTACCCCACCAAGGGCGAGAAGATCATGCTGGCTATCATCACCAAGATGACCCTCACCCAGGTCTCCACCTGGTTCGCCAACGCCCGCCGCCGCCTCAAGAAGGAGAACAAGATGACGTGGGCCCCGCGGAACAAGAGTGAGGACGAGGACGACGACGATGGCGACGGGGCGAGGAGTAAAGAGGAGAACGCTGACAAGATACCCGAGAGTAACGAGACCTCCGCCGAGGACGAAGGTGGGCGCGGGGGGAGCGAGGGCGCCCCGAGGGCGGCGGATTGGCCCCGGGAGCGGGCGGCGGGGACCCTTAAGCGCACTCCTTCCCGTCCCGTTGCCCCAGGCTGACGGTGCCGGGGAGGGCCGGGGGCGGGCGGGGGGCGCCGGCCCGGGGGGAAGGGTGGCCCTGCATAGGAAGGTGGCGACATGGCGAGGCCACGGCTGCCGCCTCCTCCCCTTCACTCCCCCCTCCGGCTGTGCCTCATTCTGTGCCCCCGACCCCGCAGGGATAAGCTTGCAAGTGGACTCGCTGACGGACCACTCGTGCTCCGCCGAGTCGGACGGCGAGAAGCTGCCGTGCCGGGCCGGCGACCCCCTGTGCGAGTCGGGCTCGGAGTGCAAGGACAAGTACGAGGACATCGAAGAGGAAGAGGAGGACGAGGACGATGACGAGGAGGACATCGAGGAGGACGACGGCGGCGGCGGGGAGCGCGAACCGCCGGCCAAGCCAGCCACCTCCTCGCCGCTGGCCGCCGTGGAGGCCCCTCTGCTCGGCCACCCGCACGCCGACGCCGCCCGCAGCGCCAGCAAGGCGGCGCTGGGCGGCCGCGCCTCCCCCGGGCCCCCGACGCCGGCCAGCAAGCCCAAGCTCTGGTCGCTGGCCGAAATCGCCACCTCGGACCTCAAGAGCCAGAACTTGGGCCAAGGCTGCCCGCCGGCGGCGTTGGCCTCGGCCACCCCCGCCTCCG